CTTGCATGGAACTTTCACACCCACCATAAGTATAAACCTCTCGACTCTTTTGAACTTCACATACCCGCCTTTTTTATCATCGACCTATTACATGTCACGCAATAAATTAAAAAAAATAAAATGCTTGATCTCATTCACTTCTTTCGACAAGATATGAATATTACCTTTTGCATGTCGACTAAATAACCTCCCAAATTATGAAATTCTTTCTTGTAAACATGCATTAGCAAGTCCATACAACCCTAGTGACACGGCAGAAGAATAATTACGATTTATCCAATTGTTATCGTTAATTATAATCATTATTCGATAATTTGACTAGTAAGAACCCAAAAAAAAAAGAGCGAACCTCATGTATTTCGAGGCTTGGTATGTGAGGTAAGAAGTCGTTTCCAGCAAAGAAGCAAATAAAGATAAAATCGTCGATTATTCGTTCGACATCATATGCGAAATTCTCTACTTGAGCAATTCTCATGTCCAACTCCAAGTATTCCCTCAGCACCCACAAATTCAGAAACTGCAAAAATGAAACAAAAGATTAACAAAATGTTGAGACAAAGAACTAAAACAGCATAAGATATTCATATTATTACCTGATAAGGTTTCTTTTTTTGGATTTTCCAAGGAACTTTTTTCGATAAATCCAAATTCTTCAACTCGATAATGGGCTCAGAGCATGAATTTTGCCACGGATGCTATCCATAAACAATTTAACAGACAATGAGAAGGATTTTTTACACTAGAATACTATACTTTATACAATAGTAAGTTCCAATTAATAAATAGACAGAATATATATATATATTTATTTTCGAAATAATTACAATACCTCCTTGAACCATCCCCTCGAGTTCTTTGGACCAGTATCGACCCTACCTATGCTCGACTCCAAAGTAGTTACAGTACTAAGTTGATTCTCCTTATATAAAACTTCCTATAAATTATCAAACATCATAACGAAATTACAATCTTGGAAATAAAGAAATTAAGTACTTAGAGAAACAAAAAGAAGTGACACGTAAAACTGTAATTAAAATTTGACGACGTCATGTATATACTTAAAGATAACCGGATTAAATGCGTAAATATGTGTTTGCTACTTGAAGATTATAACTTCCTCTGACGACAAATATCAATGCAATGTTTATAAAGCCATACCTCTCTTAGAATGGAAAAGTGGATTTCATGCGTGGCCAGAGCAAGCATTATCAAATCGGCATCCTGCAAATTAGAAAATATAACTTAAAAAAGTTTCAGGTTGCACGACAGTTTAAAAAATTAAAGAAGACATATTTTCAACTACCTGTCCGTATAGGCAATGACGGGTATTTGGATCATAACCGGGAGATGAACGTTGGGCTCGAATAAAAGACATGATTTTGTGTTCCCCCTCACCAGGCACACTATCATCTGACAATATAACCTTCAAAGTCGAAAGATAACTATAATATAATTACAAGTTCACTTTCCTGTTATTAAACAAACTAAATTACATAAGATCCAACAATCTTAATAAAAAAAAAAATGACCAATTCATCACTTATGGACTACAAATACCACGTCGAGGAACATGAACGCATTTTGCAAATTTAACTCAACGGTCAGATTTTTGTAAACGTCCCAAAATATAAATGTTATAATTTCGTAGAGTTCATTGAGAGAGCAACCTTAATATTTGCCCAAGACGAGTCTTCGCTCATCCTAAGGCTGATATAGCTTTGAAGCTTGTTTGAAAGCATGTGCATGAACTCGGTCCCGGGCGTAATAACATTAGAATCAGCAACTTCTGATTCTTCTTTAGGTATAACTGGTTTTCCCTCCCTTTCAATTTGTTTCCTCAGTTTATCTTCGATTTCTTCCTATAAATTTCAATAGAAAAAACAAATAAAAAAAAAAA